TCTCAGAACCTCAAGCTGGATGTTACCACATGCTCCAAACCTTGCCCAAAAACCGAATATTGGAGACTGGCCAATAATTATTCAATACAGTAGGGTTCAAGGAGGGCTTTTTAAACAAAGTCTTACTACTGACTCCTTTAGCCATATGGGTACCCTTCCCTGCTGAGTGGAGGCCTTCACCACTACCCTTACCCAGTCGAGCCAATCCCTTTCAGCTGCCTTTATAAGCCAGGTACAGTGGTGCCCCGCAAGATGATGTTAATTCGTTTCGTGAAAATCACTGTTTTGCGAAAACATCATCTTGCAAAATGTGGTTCCCCATTGGAATGCATTGAAATCCTTTTAATACATTCCAATGGGGACAAATTGTTGTTGTTTTGCAAAAATTGCCCTTAGGAAAACCATTTTGCGAAGTGCGGATCCGCTGTTAAAATTGCTGTCTTGCAGAAATCGGTCCCAAAAACACCCGTTTTGCGAGTCACGGACCTAGCTGTCAAAATCGTTGTCTTGCGAAAATCGGTCCCGAAAAAGAAAAAAAAACATCTTGCGAAGCACGGTCCGAAACATCGTTTGGCGAAAATCGCCCATAGGAAACACTGTTTCGCGAAGCGCTATAGCAATCGCAAAAACTCATCGGCATGCAGATTTGTCATTTTGTGAGGTAATCATCTAGCGGGGCACCACTGTAATGGCCCAGCACCTATGTGGTGGCTTTCACCTCGCCAAAGGTCTGCATCAGTTGAGACATACTGCATCCATTATAACAGCACAAACAGGGGCCCACATTATATTAACAGGACCTGCATCAACTGCAGCAGAAAATAAATGACCACAGAATCTTATTTTATAGTAAAAAAAGGAAAAGGGAAGGGAAAGACAGAAATCATTGAAAGGATAGGGGAAATGAGCCCATGACCTTGCAAGCCGCACTGTGTGAAAGAAAGACAGACGTCACCATAAACACACTAGGTCCCTGTTTGATTCTGAAACCAGAAATAGGGAAACCAGAATAAAAAAACTATCAAAATTGTGTGGTTCAAGGAAGAGTTGCCAAAGCTTGGTCTAAAGGCAGTAAATAGACTGTAGAGAAGGAGGTCTAAGTATCATCAGTGCCTAAACAGGAGATCGTGTGGGAATCCGAGACACATTGTCTTAAATTTTACAAGCAATGACTGATTAAAAAAAGACAGTTTGCTCAAAAAGTCCAAGCGTAATAAGCATGTTTATTTGGAGGCAAGTCCCATTCTGTGGGTCTTCTGCCCCTCTGTGGATATGCTTAAGATTGCAACCTTAGACAATGAACTCTACCCTCCAAACATAACTTGTTTTAAAACTCGACAGTAGTATTCTAAACAAATTGTGTTTTCAAGTAGCCATGCTGAGAGAGGAAAACGAAAATTGGAGGGTTTTTTAAAGAAGAATTTTAATTCCCCTTCCCCACATAAATCAGAGACCCTGAAGAGACAAATTCAGCATATTTTTCACAGATAACTCAGCTGGTTTGTTGGTTTAGTCCACTTTTCAGACATATGAAGAAGACACAGTGTGTCTTAAGGAGATTACACTGAAATAAATTTGTTAGTCTGAAATATCTTAGCCACACAGTACTTTTGTTTACATTTTTGTAAATAAATTCATGTAAATTCAGGATATATCTTTCTCACATAGAATTAGGTAAATTTGAAACATATAGCATTGACATAATCTGAGCACTAATCCACACTTCTAAATCCACACTTGGTTTGCACTATCCCACAGAATTTTGGATAGCTTTCTCCAACTGTCCTCAATATCAGAAGTGCAGGGCTGAAAACAAAGTAATGATGGTCATGGATAAGATACTGAAACCTGCCACCTATAAATACACGTACTGCATGAATAAGCCCACTACAGTGGACCTTCGACTTACAGAATTCGTATTGGAACTGTGGCTGCAGGCTGAATAGTCTGTAGGTCAAGGCTCCATTGACTTACAATGCATTGAAAACCAATTAATCCATAACTGGCCATTTTTGTTCCACTTTGGTTTTTTTCTGGTCTGTAGGTCGATTCTCCGGCTGCAAGTTGAACCTAAATTTTGTGGGCAGAGAAGTCTGTAACTCTAAAAGTCTATAAGTGGAGCCATCTGTAAGTCAAGGGTCCACTGTAATGTGTAAAATTAGCCAGTCAGTGGCACTTGCCGGACCCTTGGATCATTCATATGATAATGTTGCATAAAAACGAGCCAGTTCCTATATGTATATATGTATATGAAACCTGGTAAAGGTAAAGGTTCTCCTTGACATTTTAAGTCCAGTCGTGTCCGACTCTAGGGGGTGGTGGTCATCCCATTTTCAAACTCTAGGGGGCGGTGGTCATCCCATTTTAAGTCCAGTCGTGTCTGACTCTAGGGGGTGGTGGTCATCCCATTTTCAAACCGTCCAAAGACAGTTTCCATTGTCACGTGGCCGATGTGACTAGGGAACACTGTTTCACCTTCCCACTGAGGTGGTACCTATTTATCTACTCACATTTGCATGCTTTCGAACTGCTAGGTTGGCAGGAGGTGGGACAAAGTGACGGGAGCTCACTCCATCACGTGGATTTGATCTTAGGACTGCTGGTCTTCTGACCCTGCAGCACAGAGGCTTCTGTGGCTTAGCCCACAACGCCACCACGTCCCTGAAACCTGGTAGACACATTGAAAGAAGTGTTGGTGGACTGGTTGTCAGGATAAACAAATGTAAAGTGATGGGAAGGTAATGTGGCAACCAAGTGAGCTGGCTGCCAAGCACAGTGTGTGGTTGACTATTTGCTAAATCATAGGGACTGGTGGGCTTTTGCTGTCTGCCAGACTGAGGGAGCTATGGAACTGGTTCTAGTAGTGTGGCTGTGGGCTGGGAGTTAGATAGGTGGCAAGTGTACCTGACTGCAGATACAACTTTTGAATAACATGGTACAGCATACACAGTAGGCACTGGCACGAATGCTTGAGGAACTGGATGTTTGTGAATCCTTCTACAAACTGGTCTGATGTGTATTTGCAGTATAATGTCAGGGATGGAACGGAATTGGCTTTTACATTTTTCTCTGTGTGTGGTAGTCCAATTCGTGGCTGAGAAAAGCATACAAAATGCATTTTAAAATGTGTATTGGTGAAATACCTTTTATTATGAAAAAAATATTCAAAAATACAAATTTGTATAGTATCTACATAAACATGTTCTGCTGTTGTGAAAAAAATGCACATTTCTACAACAACAGAACAGATGTATAAAAGAATATGTGCAAAATCCACCTCTCTCTGTGCCTCCTATTTTGTTTTTTTCTATGCTGATAACATTTTAAACAGGGACACCATGAAGCCGTGCTCAGCAAATAACTTTCCTTTGCAATTTTGTGGTGTTTCAATTGATGCCTAGATCCTAGCAGATGCCCACACATGCTGGATGTCTAGACAAAAGAATGGGAGGCAAGTCAACCAAGTGCTATATAACCTACAACCAGGGAGAAGGTTAACAATCCAGAAACAATTAAGTGTTTCTCAGATTCTGCAGTTAGCAAAGGGGCTTTCCAAAGGTCATAACTCAAAAGATCATTCTTCAATTCTGGGCCATGAAAAAGACTTGATGTTTAGTCCAGAGGGGACTTACTTTTGGTTCTGTTATCCAAAACTATGGGATGATGTCAGTTAGTCTTCTTCCAGGATGACCACCTGGGAGAACATCTGAATCAGGTTCTCGGCCAACCATGATCTTTATTTATTACGTTATTCACCTGGTTTTCTGCCAGTATACCAAGTATTATGGTGGATATCAGTCACTGGAATTCAAAACAATTTGTTATTAACAGAGTAATCTTATATTCTCATTAAGCTGCAGCTACAGATACACCATCTCTGCACTAGCTGATCAGCTGTATCCAGTCCAGGAGAAAAACACTTTTAAAAAAAGGACTTTATTAAAGTTACAAGCATGACTACAGTGTCCCTGGAAACAGTTCTGCAACTTCCCATTCATAGATCATAACAGTGGTGATACTCGCATGCTGTCCCTAAAGAGGAGACACCTAGTGAATGTCCTGTCTTTAGTGCAAACACCAGCATCACTGGACACACAGCATGCAAAGATTTATCCAGCTTCCCTTCCTTCAACTTCAATTATAAATAGCCATGGATGAGTGCAGATCTCTTTCCCCCAAAAAACTATTGTTCACCTCACTGAATGAAACTCAACTTCAATTATAAATAGCCATGGATGATCTCTTTCCCCCCAAAAAAACTATTTTTCACCTCACTGAATGAAAAGTGCTTTCAAATCAGTTAGACCCATAAATGGCCACATTTTCCCTGTATTTTTCCTTCTTGGCTAATAGCAGGTTTGTAGGGGAAGGGGAGGGGGATAAGTAAAAAAAGGTGAACTCCATGCCTTTTTGTGACTTAAATATAATTATTAGTCCCAAATAAAGTAGATCCATTGAATCAGTGGGATTTAGAGAAGTGTTCATTTACCCTTCAGCAATGGAGTCAATGGGTCAACTCTATGTAGAACTGAGAATTGAATCTAGCCCTGTGTCTGTAAACCCCGATCAGTTCCCACCCTGTATAGCTGCTTCCTATGATGGAGATTGAGGATGTTTTGTGTCATTTTCAATTTGCCCAGACTTGTTCTTTTGACTAAGATTTCAGTGTTTTCCACAGTTCGTCACCATTCTGCTAAAATGGAGTCAATGGGTCAACTCTATGTAGAACTGAGAATTGAATCTAGCCCTGTGTCTGTAAACCCCGATCAGTTCCCACCCTGTATAGCTGCTTCCTATGATGGAGATTGAGGATGTTTTGTGTCATTTTCAATTTGCCCAGACTTGTTCTTTTGACTAAGATTTCAGTGTTTTCCACGGTTTGTCACCATTCTGCTAAAAAAATAATAATAATAAAGCAGACCAAAGCTATCATGATTTTACTTACATTTACCTTACATACAGTCTTTCTCCCCCGCCCCCAATCCTTTCTTCACATCAAGGTTCTAGGGCATAAGCCAGAACTCCCAGAGGGTGATGACAATGATGATAAGGCTGCTGATGTTACTAACAGGAGAATTGCTAAACTGTACATGGTAAGTATAGAATCCTCTGCTTTCCGTTGGCTTATTGAAAGCAAAACACAGTTGAGCTATTTCTCTGATCAGCTCCAGCTGAAGTACAGTAGAACTGAGGAATATGTATACGACCAGATAGGTGGGATATAAATACAATAAAAATAAATAAAAAATAAAAAATACAGTATCTGGTATATATTTAGAAGCAGTGCTCCCTCAAGTGGTGAAACTCCATCATAACATTTGTTTTCCCCTGTATTTTCCATTTAGCAGTAAGTTTTCTAATTGGTCATTAGAAAGTAAACACAGGCATCCTTCAAATGTCTGACAGCTGAGGGACATGGCTCTGAAGATGTTCTCTAGGTGCAGTTAAAAGATGGTAATCACAGGCAATACATGTAACTAGGGAAGGAGTCTTTAGATTTCTCTGACTACAGATCCCATAATTCTCCATTATGGGAGTTCTGTTTTACAGACAGACACCTTATGGACAGACATCTAAGTATGACTCCCGTAAGGGAGAGGCCTCGACTGGAAGACTTTGGGCTTTGCTAGTTCTAGCTCCAACGACATTCCTTGCTTTTTGCTGGGGCCTTTCTTTCTGAAAAGGAAGCTAAGCAGAGCTAGGCCTAGCTAAGCTGCAGAGTCTTCCAGTTGAGGCCTTCCTATCTTTCAGGTAGAACTTCAAGAACAGAGAATTGTGGAATTTGTAGTCCAAGAAATGTAATTAATTAATTTTTATACCGCACCATCTAGTGGCCTTGTCAGTAATCTGGTCTGTTTCCAAAAATTCCATCCCTCAGGATAACCCTTAAAATCTAGTTTCACCCAGAGACATGGCAAAAGTCTTGAGACAAGACTAGTGAACAAAGCACTGTCCAGCAATTACAGTCCATCACAGATAAGACAATTAGGGACACATGGAATGCATATGACACTCCTCTGTCTGTTGGCAAGTGTTGACATTAGAACTGACTTTAATTTACTTTGGTCTTGCCAGAAAGGCATAATAAACTCAGAGACGTCTAGCCACTGATAACAATGGCAGACTGCAAGAGCAGCAGCCTTCCTATGATCTGCACACTCTTCTAGTTCAAAGGCAGCCTTTCCAACATGGTTTAGCCCAGCGGTGTCCAACCTTGGCCCTCCAGATGTTCTTACACTACAGCTCCCAGAAGCCTTCACCACCACCTCTGTTGGCCAGGATTTCTGGGAGCTGAAGTCCAAGAACATCTCGAGGCCCAAGGTTGGGGACCACTGCTTTAGCCTATGGAATAGAAATGTGTTAAGTCAGATGTTCACAGTGGAAGAGGGGGTCTTAGTTACAATAAAGCTGGGTGCTCCAACCGAGAGAGTAACTGTTAAGAAATGA